CTAGAAGGGTTCTTATTTTATAAGCTTGAAGGGCCGGGCAGTGTTCCTCGCCCGGGGCCGTTCCCCCGGCATCTGCCCCGCGGTTCCCCCAGTTGCGCCCTCTGGGTTCACCCAGCTTAGCTTAGCTAAGCTAAGCTTAGCTTAGCTTATCTCATATTGGCTTAGCTTAGCTAGCCTAGCCTAGCTTAGCTTAGCTTAGCTTAGCTAGGCTCAGCTTAGCTAGGCTTAGCTTAGCTAGGCTTAGCTTAGCTTAGCCTGGCCTAGCTTAGCTTAGCTTAGCATAGCTTAGCTTTCCTTAGCTTAGTTGGGCGCAGCACAGCATAGCACAGCGCAGCATTTGCACAGCATAACATAGCATAACCTAGCTCAGCGCAGCATATCATAGAATAACATAGCTCCGCATATCATAGCATCGCATAGCGTAGCATAGTATAACATATCATAGCATAGCATGGCTTATCATAGCACATCGCAGCATCGCATATCATAGCACTGCATATCATATCATATCATAGCATACCATAGTATAGCATAGCGCATCATAGCATAGCATAGCATAGCATAACATATCATAGCATAGCATAGCATATCATAGCGCAGCATAGCATGTCATATCATAGCATATCTTTGCATAGTATAGCGTAGATGCAGGTGTACATGTTAATGTAGCTGTCGGTGTAGATTTAGATGTTGCTGTCCTAGATGCTCCAACTCCTAGGTAGGGTCGCACTGGGATAATGCATGCAAATATAGAATTACATGTGCATGTACATAAGACATATACGCAACAACCCGCAATTGCGGACAAGAGTGAGGGGGCCGGCGGGTTGGTCGTGGGGCGGGTTGCGGGCGGGTCGCGCGTGGGCAGCAGGGGGTCGCTGGTGGGTCTCGGGTGGCACGACGACAGTAACAGCAAGGCAACGCAACGCAACGCAACGCAACAACTACAACACCAACATCAACCACAACAAGAAACCGTGTAGCGGTTTCACTCTTCGGCCACACACACAGGGACAATGAATTGCCGTTCGGTCCCATCGCTCTGACAGTGGAGGGAGAGAGAGAGAGAGAGTGACAGAAAGAGAGAGAGAGAGAGAGAGAAAAAAAAAAATAACTGCATGTTTATTTTCATGTACGTACGTATAGATGTAGAGAGAACGAAAGAGAGAGAGAGAGAGAGAGTGAGAGACATAGAGAAATTCAACGAGAGAGAGAGGATATATACAGAGAGAGAGAGAGAGATAAGGAGAGAGGAAGAAGAGGAAGAGATAGAGAGAGAAGGAGAGTGGCAGAAAGAGAGAGAGAGAGAGATGGAGAGAGGGAGAGGGAGAGAGAGGGAGAGAGAGGGAGGGAGAGAAAGAGAGATCGCACCCTCGGAACGCACGTTCACTCCTGGCGCCGATCCCGACTAGCGGGGCGCGTGCCCGACTGCTACTGGAGGCCAGAGTCGATGCCGAATTGCACTGTGGGGGATATCGCGGGCGGCACGAGACCTTATGCTACGGCGGCGAGGGGCGCGCTTCGGCAGGAGAGGAAGGCCGACGAGCCCCGCTGCCTCCAGGCGGAGCTTGTAGGCAACGGAGGGTCACGGCCGCATTGGACGGCGCCTCTGCGGGACGCCGCTGCAAGGGCTCATTTCGGCTGCTCTGGGTCGATTCGTTTCGGTGTTGAGTTACATTCCGATTCCGATTCGGTTCGCCTTGGGGTTCCGATTTGGATTCCGTGTTCCCAGCGGAGGCCTTACTAGCCTGCCGACCTTCGCCAATTCGACTCCCGGCTTGGCTGCCGATTTCCACCGATCCGATTCTGTTCGATCGCCGATCGGATTTACCGATTCGATTCCGGGGCCTCCTGCGCCTGGGTGGAAAGCCGTGCAGGACGGAGCCCCCCTGCGGAAAGGGTGTCCCAAGGAGTCCATTGGTTCGAGCGCCAAGCGGCCGGCGGCGGCAAGTGCTGGTGGTGAGAATCTGCGTGTGGTGTCTTGGGGGGGAAGCGGGCTCGAGCGCGCCGCGAGCGCGGCGGGGAGCCTGAGGGAGAGGCGGCCGAGGGTACCATGCCCGCGCTGGCGTCCCTCGAGCCCGGAGGAAGCGAGGTCGGGCGGGGGTGCCTGTTCTTTTCAGGCTCCCCGGGGTAACACGGGGTAACATGTGTTACCCCCCCCAAGACACCGCCCCCGTAATTGCAACGCTTGCGAACCAGCCACAAGCGTGAGTCTTTGCGGCTTCCAAGGGACACTATAAGGAGTGCACAGGCGCTCCGGCGCACGCAGGCATCGACGTGCACGCAGGGCCAGTACATTGTGTTGTACACGGGCGGTGTGGTGCACGCGGGCACTGGCGTCCACATGCGCTGCGGTGCACATGGCTTCTGTGCTGTGCACAGGCACTGCGGTGTTCCCAGGCGTTGTGATGCACGCAGGCATTGTGGTGTACACACGCGCTGTGGTGCATGCGGCTGGTGTGGTGTACACATGCGGCAGGGCGATGAGGAGGAGGCGGAGGGGGAGTAGGCGGTGGGAAGGGGGAGGGAGCAAGATAACTGCATATTCACAGCCTGGTGGTCCCACTGGCGGGGGTGTGGGCTTTCGTTGCTATTCGGTGCTGCCTCTGGCCGCAGACAATTCGCTGGCACAGAGAAGGCGCGGCGGCGATCCCAGCACGGGCGTTCAAGGATGCGACGCGTCCGGGTGGGTGGAAGCCCGTTCGGGCCCCAGGATTCCCAGAAACGAACCCGCGGTGCGAAATCATGGTTCAAGATTGGGCCGATAGCTTCTAGTTGCACAGATCGGTCAAGATTGAACGATCCACGCAGTGTCAGAAACCAACTTCCAAGGCGTCACGACACGGACCTACCGTATAGCCGACGCCCCACGTCCTCCTAACTTCCCCCACCTCCCGCCTCACGGTTTTGGGGTCGACGACGGGACGAGGAGGAAGAGGAGGTGGCGCAAAGAAGCTCCGCCTGTCCTCTTGCACTGGTGGAGGACAGCGCAGGAAGTGGAAGATGAGGAGGTGGAGGAGCTGAACCAAGAGTCCCGAGGGCCGCCGCGGTCTGTGGTACACATGGTCTTTGTGGTGTGCACTGGGGTGTGGTGTACACACGCATTCTGGTGCGCGCAGGCATTGTGTTGTGCGCAAGCGCTGTTGAGCACGCGGCTGCAGCAGTGTAGACAGGAACTGTGGTGTACACGGGCGACGTGGTGTTGTGGTGCACGCGGCTGCTGTGGTGTACGCAGGCACTGTGGAGTACGCGGGCGGCGTTGTGTTGCACGCAGGAATTGGGCCTTGTCGTGTACACAGGGAGTGGGTGCACACGTGCGATTGATGTGCTGGTGGCGCGGACCCATCCTGACGGGCGCACGCCGCGGCTATTGGCACCGCTACCACCCCGACCTCGCCAGCCCCCCCTCCCCGGGATAGCACGCGTTACCCCGACGAAAAAAACAGTTACGGGCTGCAGGTCGGCGGCTTTGCGCTGCCTCGATAGCATCTTTCCGCTCCGCCTCTGGTCCCATCGTCGACGCTGATCGTTCGATGCTGCACCGCAGACAGCCTGGCCCAAAGAACCCGGGGGGGGGACGGGGGGGGGCGAGTCGTGTTGCCTTCTCTGTTTGTTCGCTTGAGACCCGGTCCAAGACAAGTCCACGCCGCTTCCCGCGCGTGTTGCCAGGCGCGCAGGCGCTGCTCCTGTGGGCTGCTCCAGTGGGAGCATGGGGGCCTCGCGGGCCTGAGCCGCTGCCCACAACTGCTGGAGCCTTTCGGATCGTTCGGTGGTCTGGCCCAGCCTGTGGACGGCAGCCTGGGGACGGCAGGCGTCGCGCCCCCCCCGCTCCACGAGCCCCACCCCCCGGGATGCCGCCGCCGTTTTCTGGGGTCCCTTGCACGCCCCACACGGTGAGTGGGGCCCTCCAGGAGGAGAGCGTGGGGAGTTGAAGGCGATTAGGTGGTGCCTCTCCTCTATCCTCTCTCTTGTGCAGTGCTGCGAGAGCGCGGGCGCGTGCGGGGAGCGCTATCCCTGCGATGCTGACGCTCCGAGCGAGCGCTCCAGCGGCCTGCCTAAGGAGAGGGGTGCAGAGGAGCGGGAGGGAGAGCGCGGAGCAGTGATGGCACTTCAGCTTAGAGTTTCGGGCCCCCTTCCCCAGAAGCCCAGGGCGCACTGGATATGGAGAATTGGTTGCCCCCTAGAGGTTCGATGTTTATCCATGTCCAGTGCGCCTCGGCCTTGCGAGGCCCCTTTCCCAGAAGGTGCAAGGCGCCCTGGATATGGATGTCAACATTGCCCGCGCAACCGTACAAGAGGGGCCGTGGCGCGGAGAGAGGCAGGCGGTGCGCCGCAGGGTGAGCGCGCGGCGTGACGACGCACGCGGCGCCTGCGTCGGTGGGCCCTGTGGGCCCGTGCTGGCGGGAAGCGGGGAGGGAGGAAAGGTGCCAGCGAACGGCAGCATACGAGATGGAAGTGGGAATGACAGAGAGAGGGAGAGAGAGGGGGACATGGATAACGAGAGACAGAGACAGAGAGAGAGAGAGAGCGAGAGAGAAAGAGAGTGAGTTACGTTTAGTGTGTGTATCTGTATATACACATAGGCTCCCCCCCAAGGATCATGCCGTTTGCCTAGTGTTCGATGTTTCCTATTTCTGTCCTTCTCCGTCCTCCCCCTCATTTGCTCCTCCCTCTCCCAGCAAACCTCCTCATCCTCCTCGTCCCCCTCCTCCTTTTTGTACTCCTACGTGAGGAGGGGAAGGGGTAGCGACTTGAGGAGGAGGAGGAGTGTCACGGGGAAGAGCAGGAGGATGACAAGGAATAGAAGGAGGAGGATACGGAAGAGCAGGAGGAGGAGGAGGAAGAGGAGGAGGAGGAGGAGGAGGAGTAAGGACGAGGAGCAGAAGGAGGAGGAGAAGTGAGAAATGAGGAACGCGGCGCCCTCCAGGCGTTCATTATGAAACTCAGGGTAGCAATGTGGGCTCAGGCTTCTTCGTCCATATCTCCCTGGTACTTGTACCATGTCTTCCCGGCGCCATCGACTGTCGTCAGAGCCGCCTTGTAACCCCAGTTGGCTTCCGTGCCCTGCAGCCTCCAGGAGCCACGATGATATCAACTACTTGAGCCTTGCATTCAAGGATGCTGGAATGGAGACTGGCTTCGCCAAGTCGCGCCAGCAGAAGTTGGCCGCAAGCATGATCAAGTGCAGCATCGCAACAGGGGGTGGTTCGGGCGTGATCCTCTTGATGCAAAAACCTTGGGAGTCTGGCCGCGACCATTACGTCAGCGACGAGGTCATGCAAGTCATGCAGCTGACGAACGTGATGTTGGGCTCGATCGTGATCACCACCCTGCTGGTGTCTCTGGTATTCTCCACCCCGTGCGTCCTCCGCAGAGCCAGCCCCGCCCTGCTGGAGATCTTCTCTGCCTTCATCGTCTGCCTCGCAATGGTTTTGTTTCTGCTCAGCGTCCCCTTCTACGCCGCAAAGGCGCTGGGCATCGACCCCGAGGAGCACCTGGAGCCCCAGTACATCACGGACACCGGACTGCTGCTCACCATCGACGCGCTGATCACCGGCTCCCACATGCTGCTGCCGATCAGGTTCTGTTTCATCCTGAGCGTGCAGGTTGCACATCAGAGAAGTATCAGCCAGAGTGGATCCCAGACAGTCCAGCATTTCTACTGTGGAGGTGAAAGCTAAGCGGTGTGAGCGATGTAGTGTCATCTCATGTCTTGCGAGCTATTGATGTGGAAATTCTGCGGTTCAAGCCATCTGGTGCAAGCTATGTCGTGTACGGAGGGCGGTGTGAAGCGTGACTGGGAGGTGAAAGCCATGTAATGTATGTGATGCGCTCTATGTTGTGTAGTACGTTCAGTGTGCGCTATGTGGTGTACGCTGCATCGTGTAAGCTCAGCGCGTGGGACCACGAGGCGCCGATGAGGCGGGACCGGCGGCAACGTGGTGCAACCTCGCCCCCCCCCCCCCGGCGCGGGGCGCCCACGAGGCGCCCACGAAGCGGCATGGGCGGCAGCGTGGGCAAAACGATTGCCCCACGACGGAACGTTCAAACCCCCACGGGCAAGCACAGTTCTGAGAATTCAGCAGTCTTGGGCGTGCAGGTCGTCGGCTTGCTCACCTACGTTGTTCCCGCCTTGACCGTCGGGGCCGCCGAGTCCAACAATGCCTTCCGCTTGCTCACCATCTTCGTGGTCCTCATCGGCCTGGCTTGCACGGGCAAGCGCAGCCTGGAGCTCGAGGAGAGGATCCAATTCCTGACAGTGATCCGCGAGAAGAGCTTGAGGTTCCAGTTGGACTTCCAGCTGTCAAGGTTTCAGCAGCAGGGCGCGCACACGCACCACGAGCCATCGGAGTCAGGCAAGGACTCGTTGCCATCAACGACGGAATCGGGCAGAGCCTTCAGCATGAACAATGGCCGCATCACCAAGGTTTTCATGGAGGAGCTAGCGACCATCGGAGGCAGAGAGCAGTGGCTCATCAGGCCAGACGAGATCACCCTCGTGCCTGGTCAACAGCTGGGAGAGGGGAGCTTTGGGAGGGTCTTCCTGGCCAGATACCAGGGGATCCACGTGGCGGTCAAGGTCCCAAAAATACGCACGAAGAAGCTGTCCGATAATTCGCACCTGGTGGAACTGTGCAATGAGCTACGGGTTCTCAGGCGCGTACGCCATCCAAATATTGTGCTTTTCTACGGGGCGGCCTTGGACGACCAGAATTTCGACATGGCATTGGTGATCGAGTTCGTGGACGGCCTGTCCCTCCGAAGCTTCGTGCGGAGCGGGCGGAGGGACGATGGTGACAGCTCTGGTTCCGAGCCACCAGGTGCCCTGCAGAGGTCTCAAGTTCTGGTCGACGTGGCGTGTGCCCTTGAGTACCTTCACTCGCGCACCCCTCACATCGCCCACGGCGATCTGAAAGACAACAACGTCTTCGTGGAGGCGGTCCGCACACGCGCCAAGGTGAGGGCGAAGCTCCTGGACTTCGGGCTGTCGCGCGTGCTGACGAGGCACGCCCAGCCCATGGGTGGCACCTTGTCCTGGGTTGCGCCGGAGCTTCTTCGAACTGGGGGCAAGGCCACCAGCACGGCCGCCGACGTCTTCTCGTTCGGCCGCCTCGCCTTCTTCGTCATCACCGGGCGGCTCCCTATCCAGGGCACGGTGGTCGGGGCGCACGTAAGGGGGTTCGGCGCAGACGAGGCTCAGCCAGAAGGCCGGATCCTGCAGGATCCTGCCTCCTACATATTGGCTGAGCTGGGTTTGGGGAGCCCCCAACGAAAACGCAGCGCATTGTTCTGAATTGGTTGATTTGGGATTGCGCTGAGCCTGGTTAATCCACGCCCGAGGTGGCCAGGAGCGTTGACGAGATTGTGGAGCAGCTGCTTGCACCCCTGGAGTGGCCGCCCGGCAGCTGGCTGGCCGGGAGGTGGCAGCTCACGGTGGAGCAGTGTACCCGCGGGGAGGCCGCGGCTAGACTCGGGATGCAGCAGGTCCACAAACTTGCCGCGGACTTTAGAGGAAGAAAAGGGGCCGATACCGCTCGCCTTCCCCTGAGATCCTGGCGTTGCAATTTCTTCACAACGGGCTTTTTCGATTGGCCCCGAGACCCTCACATATTGATTTGGCAATGACGCAGAAACAGAAGGTCTTGGGCTCCAGTCGTGATTTTTCGCGATGTTGGAATTTTGCGCAACATCAGATCTGAAGGTCCGAAATGGCGTTTTTTCCTCACCTTGCGCAGGGGCTCCCGTCCCCTAAAGCCGGCCGACGCTCGGCACGACTTTGGCAGACGCGTTTCTGGGCGGCACGGGCGGCCCCAAGAGGACCAGGAGTCGCCGATTGCTCGGTCCAGACCGTCCAAGATGGCCTCTAGACGGCCCTCAAAGCCCCGAAGACTCTCTAAGAAGCTTCCAAGAGGGCCTCCAAGAGGGCTCCGAGAGACAATATGATCGACTAGACGTAAGAGTGACCTTGCGCCGGAGTGACCTTTGGTGCGGGCCCAATGGGGTCCCCCGACCGCCGAACGCGATGCGGTAGTAGCGTCTTGCGCGCTTGTGTTCGGTCCCCCCGCGGCCCCCCCAAATCCGCGCACCAAAGGTCATTCTCACCTCTTACCCAGGGTGACTCTTGCTTGTAGCCGATATGAACGGGCCTCTGGACGGTTTTTGAATGTGTTCCGCGTCTCCGCGTTTTCGGCTTCCTGACGCCCCAGGACGGCCCAAGGGGCCCCGCGGATCGCCCCAAACCGGCCTCCGAGGCCCCCGGAAGGGCGCCCAGAAGGCCCAAGAGACCCCCAAGACGGCCCAAGAGGCTGCCAAGACGGCCCAAGAGGGCCCCGGGAACACCCCAAGAAGGGCCCCAGAGGCGAAGCACGGACCGACATGTCGAGCTTTCCATCCACAGAGGCCCCCAGGAGGGCCCAGGAGACCCTAGGAGACCCCCAAGAGGCACCCAAGAGGCCCCAATAAGCCCACAAGAGGTCCCCAGGAAGGTCGAGAGGCCCCCAAGAGGGCTCCAAGACTGCCCACGAGAGCCCCCGGAGGGCTGGAGACGCCACGACAACGCGTCACAGCGTCAAACAGACAACACGGGAACCAACATAATGCGCTCGCACGCCGTTTCGGCCGGCGATGGGGCCCAAGCGGCGATGTGTCCTGTCATCCTCGTCACCCGCCTCCATGTTCGAAGTCTTCATCGCCCTCCTTACCGCCAGCCTCCTTCCAACGCCCTTCCTCCTTCCGTCTCCCATCCTTCCTTCCTCCCTCCTCTTCGCTCCCGAGCGAGAGACTTCTGAAACGGCCCAAGAAGCCTTTCGAAGTCACCGCCGCCGTCGTCGCTCTCTTGAAGGAAGCTCCACGCCCTTCTCCTCTGCCACTCCTTCTACCCCTTCCTCTCTTGTGTATCTACCTTCCTCCATCGTCTCGGTTCCGAGCTGGCTCGGTTCTTCTTCTCCCATTGTGCTCTGCACCTTGTCAGGGAGCCCCGAGCAGGCTTCCAGTGGCAAGCGGACAACACGAGAACCACACTGGGCCACAGTGTTTGCCACAGTGTTTGCGTCCACTTCCGTGCGTACTCCATTGAGTCTTGCCAGTCACTTCTATGCGTACTTGAGTCTCGCCAGTCTGACACAGCCCAAAACGCCCGTTAAAGGATCCAAAGACGGTCAAACAGAACCCCAATAATCAAGACCCCTACAAGTCCGCCCGAACACAGCTGACGAAATCCCCATGACGGCCGTCAAAGGCCCCCCGAAAGCCCGAAGCACAGCTCCCGAAGGAGCCAGATTTGAAGAGGCCCCTAGAGCAAACCCGGATGCCATAAGAGGCCCCGGAAAGCAACCGATAATTTTCGGGGGTGGACAGAACCCCAAACAGTGACACGTCGATTAGTGAATTGTCCGTTTTCGGTTCTCGAGAGGGCGCCGCGGCCGCTATTTTCAAGGCTTGCGCCCGCCAGGTTTGGGCCTCAGGTCGTTTTCACTAAACCACGTTTTACTCAAGTGGGGTCTATCCATCCCCGAAACTTCCCAGGCGCGCCTCAGCGGACCAGCGAAACCGTGCAACGTGCAGTCTCTGCGCGTCCAGGACGCACATCCCGCGCGGCGATTGCAACCCCAACGCCGAAGGAGCCAGATTTGAAGAGGCCCCTAGAGCAAACCCGGATGCCATGAGAGGCCCCGGAAAGCATCCGAGAGCTTCCCAGGCGCGCCTCAGCGGACCAGCGAAACCGTGCAGCGCGCAATCTCTGCGCGTCCAGGGCGCACATTCCCGCGCGGCGGTTGCACGCCCCGACGGGTCCCCCACGGAGCACACGAGCCTCCAAGAACACTCCAAGCAGCTCCCAGGAGCAGCAGGAGACGAGCACCATGATTTCAGGAGGGAAAGAATCACACAGACACAATTAATCGTCGACTCCCAGGAAAATATGCAAAAATATGGGAAGTGGTGGGGAAGACAAAAACTCAGAAAATATGGGAAAATATGGGGGATATCTTTATTTGTGTGTATTTATTTGTGTGCTCCAGTTCCCCTTCATGATTGACGCGCACTTGTTTTCGTCGGAGCTCTTCCCCGTCGTCAAATCGAGCTCCCAAGAGGCCGATCAGTCCTTGCCCGTGCCGCTCTCACGATCATCCCGACCTGAGCCTCAAAAAATCGGGGCTGCCCGAGCCGAATCCGTGTCTTTCCCTTCGGTGCTGGTCACGGTCGTGCGTATGGGGGGGGGGCTCTGGACCCGCCGTCGCATGCTAACCAGGGACGAAGACAGCGCGGACAGTGCGCCCGCTCCGCCCTGTCGCGTCCCTGGGGAGCTACGTTCCTCCTCCTCCTCCTCCTCCTCCTCCTCCTCCTCCTCCTCGAGCTACCCGATGACGACATCACCCCAGCCGTCACATTCGATCCCGCCCAGGCTTGGGGGGGCACCTGGCAGCGCCGCGCCGCAACGCAAGGGCACCCTCGACGGCGCGCCCTCGGATGGCCACGGCCCCTGGAGCCCAGCGCGCAGCGTCGCAGAAGTTGGCGGCCGCGCCGTGCTTCGAGTTACGCCACAAGGCATAGCCATGCAGGAAGCTCCCCAGCGACGCACCCCGGAGCTACGGATGCCCTCAGATGCCGAGCAGGAGCGCGCTGCCGCCGAGCTGGCGGGCGGACTCAGCGACGAAGAGAATGCCCTGAGATGGAAAGCGGCTGCCGGGCCGCGGGATTCGGCGCCGGGCGCCCCCCACCGCCCCGCGAAAACGGTGAGAGGCCACGAGGGGGGCGCGGACTCCGGGAGATAGTCGCTTTGTCCAGCCCTTCGTGGCCCCCTCGCTTTGTTTCGTGGCCCCGTTGCAGCCCTTCGTGGCCCTCTCGCTGCCCTCCGTGGCCCCGTTGCAGCCCTTCGTGGCCCCGTTGCAGCTCTTCGTGGCCCCCTCGCTGCCCTTCGTGGCCCCGTTGCAGCCCTTCGTGGCCCCCTCGCTTTGTTTCGTGGCCCCATATATGCGGGGCGGCGGAGTGATCTGGGCTGGCCCGCCCCCGTCCGAGCCGATTTGCGACGCGACGGAATCGCGCTCGCGACGACCTTCTGGCCCGCCCGCCCCCCCCCCCCGCGGAGAGTCGCCAGGCCCCTCTTCAATTTGTTCCTGCGGCGATCAGCCATTCATCTGGGGGAATCTCAGAGCGTGCATTACCTACCCCGCTTTCGCTTCCAGGCAAAACCAAACCATACCACGCGCCTCCTCGTCAAGCGGCCTGAACAGTACAGGCCGTAGTTTGGCATCGTTTGGTATCTCTTGGAAGCGAGGGTGGTCAAAAGCGAGGTAGGTTTGTTTGCCCCCTAATTCACTTGGGGGAATCAAGGGGAGCTGTACTTGCGGCGATCAGTCGCGCACCCGGGGTAGAAGATGAACGAAACGAAGCACCCCCCCTCTCACGCGGCACACCAGGGGAAGCATCGGAAAGCGGCGTCACTCCCATTGTCCCCTTTGACCTTCTCCAGGCCTGGCAAAGGCCCGAAGGCGCAGCTGTGCGCGGCGGCGATGACGAGGACCAGGCCTCGACGACCGACTCGGATGCTTACGCTCCCCCCACGCGGGCCCCCCCCGACGACACCCACCTCCCCCCTTCTAGGAACGCAGCTTCCTTGGACCAGGGTGGGGCACGGGGCGCGCGACCCCGCTGAGCAGGAGGCGCCCGCAGAAGGTGACCAAGGACGGAAGGCCACTGTTCCCGACGACGAGCACGGCGGTGATGACGACACGGGATGGGGAATAGTTGGACCGGCACCGGCCACCAGACGGACCCGCCCCGCGCGCCCCCACTCCCGCGACCACAGTTGGGCGCCAGAGGAACGCCTGCTCTGCCTCCGACCCGAGGAGGCGACAGTGTGGGAGCGGATCGGCCCGCCCGCGATTTGCCGGGTCGGCCTCGCGCTCGGGTCGGGATCGGGGCCTCTCGCGGCTCGCCCGCCCCCCCCTTTTCTTTCGCTCGAACCCCCTCCACCTCGCCGCTCGGTTCAACGCGATGCGCAGCGGCCTGCTTGGCGGCGCGCCGCCAGCTGTCCGCTCCACATTCCCGCCGGCCCAAGATACGGCCCGACCAGCGCGCGCTGCCGCGGGCCAGATGGCGGTCCCAGGATCGAGGACCTCGTGGAGGGGGCGCCAGCGCCACGCGGGATTTGGACGAACGGTACAGGATCACAGCCACGCTCCTGCGAGGCCACCTTGCGACTCCAGCTCATGATGCACTTCGCTTGGAAGTGGCACCCAGAAGGCCACCCCGGTCTTCAACAGGTTGACTCCCCAATGCCGTGCCCGCCTCGGCAAACCACCCTACCGCGCCGTGCACCAGTGCCCTGATGCCTATGGACCTCGCGGGATCGGCATGGTCGGCGAACGAAGAGGACAGCGAGGGCAGGCAGGGCGGGGCAAGACCGCACTGGGCTCAGCTACTCTCCGTGAGATTTGCCGAGCTGGTAAACACGTGCGACGCTGACCACACCTCCCCGCTGGACTGCGAATCCCCCAGCACAAGGGAGAAAGCTGCAGTCGACAGAGAATTTCACTTCATGCGGGACATAGGAACGCCCTTAGAAGCCGCTCCTCGAGCGCTGAGGGCCCCCGAGGCCTTCTTCTCGCTCCAGCTTGCACAGGCGCGCACCGCGTCCCCCTCCTGCAATCGCACAGAATGCGGGGCCCCCTCATTCACGAGCGGAGGAAATCTGTCATTCACTGGCCCAAGCATGAGGGCCTGCTACACTGGGCAAAGAGCAGCACAACATCCCAGACGGACGACGCCGGAAGGTTCCGTCTCGGCCCCTGGGATCGCCCCAGTACAGCTGGACGGCCAGGTCGACCCAGACGACGCTTGGCCTTAGGATGACGTTGCGGTGTACCCCGACATGGGAAGCAGGTTCAATCCTAACGACAGATTTGGCTTCTGCGAGTCATGGATCTTTCGCGGGCCACGGGCCGGGCGATGCCCAGTGCGCGTCCGTCAAGCAAACTCGTGGCAGACCGACGGACGCCTCCGCTAATGTCAGGCCGCGCCCACCGTCGACCTCCTGGGAAACGAGATGCCGACCTGCCTTGTGCACGCCGCGCAGAGACTCGCCCCCGTCACGCGGTAGACCACTCCGCGACGTGGCTCGTCTGCAAACTCCCGGGTGCATGGGCAGAGCTCAGTGAACGATCCGACATTTTCACGGGTTCTGACCCCGCCGAGATGCATTTGGCGTGCACCATTAGGACCTCGGCCCGGCCATGCACCGCCGCCGTCGTCTGGGCGGGCCAGATCTGCGAGATACTTCGCATTGAAATCCGCACTGCCAGCTCCGGGCTGACTCGCTGGATGGCTACCCCCAGCCATTGTAGCCGCGCGAATCACCTCGCCGATCAGTTCCCCGTCTGGGGGCCCTCGCACGCGGGGCCTCCCCTGGCAGGACCGCTGACCCCAGATGCCGACGACGTCGTCGCACGCTTGCTCGATTTGGAGCCCGTGGCGGGCGAGGTGGCTTGGCTCCAGCGCAATATCGGCGCGCGCGCCGTGCAAGCAGCCCTTGCAGGCGACCAGCTATACGCCGACAGACGCGAGGCCAATCGGGGGATATCCACGGACGAGAATGAGTCGGCCCGGCGCTTGCCCTCGGGATTCGCCGCCATGGCCGACGACGGCGGCCAAATCCTGACCACCAGACTCAACAGGAACGACGCAGTAGGAGGTATGGAGCGCGCCATCATTAGGCAGCTGCGCTTGGACAGGACACAGCAACAAGGTGACGAAGTAATGACTGACACCAACAACCCCGACCCCGATGCCGAGCGACGCCTGGGGGCAGCCCGCGGGCACGCCGCGCCTGCCGCGGCGCGCGCAGAGCCCGTTCGTCTGGTTTCTATGGCAGAAGGGTTCGCCTCAGGAACTTCATATACGAAGTGCGCGCCGTAAGACGAAGGGTAGCGACGGCGACCCTCCCCCACTCTACCGCTGGAGTGCCATGCTCACGACCTACATCTGGGACTCCGCTTCGGCCGCGGGGAGGGGGCGTCTCGCGCAGACCTTCCAATGGATGAGCCTAGACACGCTCGCGCTAGTCATGGCGGCCGAATGCCGGGGAGGAGCGGGATCGCAGACAGTAGAGGCTGCGCGCGATCTGATGGAGGCACAAGTGCCCCCAACGCCGCTCGGCAAACAGTCACCTCCAGATGTCGGCGCTATCATGGGATTGGGAAGATGTGGAAGCGGGCGCCGCGGCCCGGAACGTAATCGCGACAGCCCCCCCAGCAAGAAGGCGAGGGGCCCAGCCCGATGTCGCAAATAGCAGGACTCATGGCACGCCACCCCTGGGGCGACGACCACCCCCGCGACGACGAAACAGGACAAGGCGCCGCCGACCTACGCAGCGAAGAGGACAGGATGCGACAGAGCTGCGCCATGGAAATCCCACTCGAGCGCATCCACCCTGCCAGGCGCCAGAACGAGCAGGCGGGAAAGCAAGCCCCGCAACCCCCTCTCGACGCGAGCTCTTTGAACCCAGAAATGGCAAATCCGCTCGGGGACGAACTGCGCGACTTCGACAGGACTGATACTGCGCCGGGTAAGTGGGCCTCGGGAGCCCTTTGGCTCGGCCTGCGACGGCGCTTCCGAACCCCCTTGACCCCCCCCCCCCCCAACTGCTATGCGCATTGACTCCAGACCGTCCGAAGTCATCGCGAACTGGATCGTCGGATGCGATGCGCACGCGCCCTGGCAGCTACAATGTCTCCCGGAGCTCGCCTCTGGGCAAAGAGCAGGCGCCTTCCACTCGTGCGAGAGTCTCAAGCCGCCAGTTTTGCACGGCGCTCTGATCCACGCGGGCCCAGCGGCAGCCGCGGATGACGCGCGCGCCGCCCCGGGCACCCCCGCCCTCTGGAGGCCCTCGGCGCAGCAGCGGCCGTGGCCGCGCCGCCCTTGGCCCGGGGCCCGCTGCGCCGCGCGCAACCAGCGGGGGCGCCGACCCATCCTGCTGTCTGATTTGCTGGGAAGAGCACGGCACTGTCGCCAACGCGCTCGTCGCATGCGGACATTGATTTCACGAACCTTGCCTGCGGCGTTGGCGTGGCTCACAGCCAGAGGTCTTCGGTCTGGGCGGTCATCCCCTGTGCACCCCCGTTGCCCCGCGCGCCGCGCGGAGGACCGAGGCGGCTTCGTCGCCCGCGAGACAGCGACACCCATTGCCGCTCACGCAGACAGCGACGCGTGGATGACCGACCCCAGGGGCCTACCTGATCTAGCTCCGCGAGCCACCGCGCAAGAGCTGGTTGCCGCAGTTAGCGCCCTGGGAGCGATGCTGCTCGCGGGCCTCAAAGCACCCGCCGAGCCGATGAACCCCCTTGAAAGCTACCTCGCCGGCGAAGACAAGAACGCCATCAGCGCCAGCATTCGCCATCAGCACCAGCACGATGTCGGGCCCCGCAGCGGGGGCGCTTCACGTGCCGGCCCTGCAGCGGGTGGGCGCTGCACCTGCCCCCGCGGGCGGCTGGCCTGCTGCTCACGGGCGCCCCGCGCTGCCCGCGCTCCGGGGGTCGCGACGCGGCGCGGCCGGCGGCGGTGCGACGGCGCCTGCTGGAGCGCCCGGGCGCGCCCGACTGACAACGTGAATTTGTCGCGCGGCGGCTGCCCTTGGCAGCCGCTGTCCCGCGCGCCTGCCGAACGCGATGTTTCGTCTTTTGTGGTCCTCTTCCTTCCCGGCCCCCTCCTCTTTTCCCGGCTCCTCCGCGCTCTGTTTGTCACCCGCTCTCGCCGCTGGGCTCTCTCTGGATGGTTTTGCGAAATGCTAGGCGCGCCAGGTGCGACACGTGCTCTACGCGCGCCCAGTGTTCCACGTGCACCACAGCCGCCCCTGTACAATATCAATGCAAAATGGTCGCGGGGCGGCCGCGCATGCTCCAAATGTGGAGGCAGAGTGCGTTTTTTGTTTTGAAGGGATGGTGCGGGGGGCGGCCCTCATGGGGTTGTCATGGTTCCGGGTTGGCCGCCGGCCAGGTGGGGGAAGGGGTGTATATAATAGGGAATAATGGCAAACCGTTCCCCGAAGGGTAAGAATGGTGTTGGAAGAGGAGCCCCCCCATAGACCGCCTACGCCCAGAGGTCTGGTGGGATTCGGGCCAAACGCGCCCTCGAAAAGGCCTGGTAGCGGCACCGTTATTGTCAAGGCAAACATATTGTAATGCCCTCCGGCCAGTGCCGCCGATCTGGGGGGCTCTGGATTCGGTGATCTCCGCGGCTCTGAGGCCTCCTCCCTCCTCGATTATTCCGGTCCTCTTTCTTCTCTTCTGGGGGGTAGCTTACACCACGTTGCTCACGCCGCATATTCGGCGATTCGGGGCCCTCTTGCATTGTCTAGGGGGCCTTTTGGGCCTCTTTTGGCTTCCTCTTGGGTTGTCTTGGGCGGTCAGGGCTCCGTAAGTGGAGTTTTCTATACCCCCCTGTCCCCGGGTACCGAAAAACGTCGGAAATGACGTCGGAAATATCCCCGTGTACCGGAAAAGCGTCGGAAATGACGTCGGAAATAACGTGCCCGCCGCCCCCCCCTGCAGAGCGAAGCTTGAGCGAGCACAAGGCCACGCTCTCAGAAACTCACACGCCAGATCGGCGGATTTGAAGGCGCAAATGTGTCTGAAGGCAGCAACGTTTGAATGCAATGTTTTCCATTGCCGAATTTGTCTCTCAAGGCGCGCTTGTTTGCGACGGCTGTTGCCTTCAATCAGCTTTTTGCCCTCAGCGGAAAATCTAGCAATGGAAGCATATGCGCCTCCAGTGAGCAGTTGTTTGCCTCCAGCGTGCTGATTGTTTGATCCCCGCAGGACTGCCACGGCGAGTTGCTGGAGTCAGAGGCTCGGCGGCGAGCGAGGGGGGCGAGAATGAGAAGGAAATGGCCTTTTGATAACCTTGTTGCGTGCTGGGGGAAGGCAGAGAAAGCGCGTCAGCAGCCTAGGGGACTTCGTGGCCTTCTGGGGATGCCCGCCCCTTCTCATTTCCCCCTTCGAGCTTCCCGCGGGAGCTCGCCGCCGGGAGGGTTCGGAACTCCCGCTGAACATCGCCCAGCTCATCGCGGGGAACCCAGCAAACATCAGCGAGCCGGCAACGGACACCGCGGGCGAGCTTCGGAGGTCCGAGCGTGCCCCGCCCGCCGCTGCGAGGAAGAGCGCGGTGGGCTCCAGCGACCCAAGGAGTTCGAGGAACACGCTGCCCGGCTATGCCCGCACGCCCGATAGCACGGCCATCCTTGTGTTCTTGGACGCCCTCCTGACTTTGAATTTGCAGATCCCAGCGCAGAGTTGCTGCGAATTCCACGGCTCTGTGAGGGCCGCGGCGCAGCTGATTTCTAGCCTTATCCAAAAACCTTGCAAGCATTATAGCTCTGTGTACAATGAAGGATCCCCTGTAGTCGGTCAGTGCTCTGACTGCGGGGTCCTGATACGGCAGGGCGACAGGAGCAGCAGCGCGCTCCCGCCCATCGTGGAGTGCCATTTTTGTAATCACGACCAATCCT